GGCAATATGGATCCTCAAGCTAATGAAGGAGCTATGCATGCAAATCCCGGTCCCCTTGGAACTGGTTTGTGATAACTTGAGCGCTATCCACTTGGCAGAAGATCCGGTTTACCATGGCAGAGTGAAACATGTCGCAATTGAGCACCATGGGATACGCGAACACGTCCACGATGGTACATTCAAAATGAAGCATGCATACACATCCAACATGATCGCCAATATATTCACCAAGAACCTCGGCAAGAAACCTTTCTCAAAATTTCGAGACATGATCGGCATCTCTGATTCCGTTTCGAATTGAGGGACCCTGTTATAATTCAAGCCCGCATAACTGCGTAATCAAAATACGCAGCTATGCTGACAAGCGCAATTCTCAACTCCGCCAAATTTCCAAACCTAACCCAGAATATTCCGACTCAACAAAACTCCAACCACCCGCCGCACGAACTGGTCTCTTTTTCTTCACACGCTTAATCAATAATCACAAGTGAAGAAAAAGAGACTAGTAAGTTAATCACACTTCCGTATCAAAAACTCTCCGATCAAAATCACCAACAAACAAAAACACTGACCTTTTTCTTTATCTTTTTCTCTGTTTTTCTTCAAACCTAAAACCATGTCTAGATTAAAATCAAAAACTCTTTGCGTGTCCTTCACTCATTTCCATTAACTCGCTCGTGTTGCTCGCTCGTCGTGCAGGTGTGTGGTGTTATAAGGTGTCATCGTTGTTACGTGGAACAACTCGACTCATTTCATTCTATCTCATCAGGTGTGTGGTGTTTTAAGGTGTCATCGTTGTTACGTGGAACAACTTGACTCATTTCATTCTATCTCATCAGGGAATCTTGTCATTGCGACTTTGTGCGATTATTTACATTTACTCACCACTTCTTCATCAATCTTGAATCGTACGAACCTGACCCACTTCTTCATCAATCTTGAATCGTACGAACCTGACCCCGGTGGTCAATTTTTTACGAGTACTGCAAAACACCCGCACATTGCGCTCTGTTTGTTAAACCAGTCACGTTGCGTCTGTCTAAAACAGCAAAACAGAGGATTACGGACAAAATGATCTCCAAAGTTTTTCTTGCCTATATTTTGATTGCCCATGGTGCAGTCCCGGCATGCCTGGTAGCCAATACCACCTCTGCTGCCGATGCTGAGGTTCCAGGAACCCCACATGATACATTGGCACCAGGCGGATTGCATTCTGCGACTCAAGCGACCCCTGCAAATTCTGCCGCTGCAGAACACCCACCGTCCGATACCACGGCTACTTCAAGTGGACCCAAGAGTGGCAATGCCACTGATGCTGCCCTCGGACACACCCAGAAATAGAGATGGGCGGGGATAATCCGTTGCGGATATCCGCTATCCGCTGGCGGATATCCGCCAGGGCCAGCGGATACCCGCCAGGGGATGCGGATTCGGGTGCGGATGTCCTTTCCCCCCCCAAATCCCGGCGGATATCCGGGTATCCCCTGGGATACCCGAGACCAATGGCCGGCTGGAAGGGTTTCCTTCCAGCCGGCAAGGTCCTTCCAGTCGGCGAGGCATGTACCTTGTCGACTGGAAGGGTTGCCTTCCAGCCGGCGAGGAATGTACCTCGCCGACTGGAAGGAGATCCTTCCAGGC